ACTATGGTGCCTGGACCGTCTCATGAATTTAAATCATATTATTTACGAACTCAGCGATCCTCGTTTCGACCTCAACCATACACGATATATCCCTAAGAAAGAACATGGTGAAGGGTTTTTCAAGTTCTTTGCAGTATACAAGGATATTATCACCAGAGTATATCCATTGAGTTCATTCCAAACCTGGCGAAAACGACTGCAGGCACTGTACATGCGTGTGCTGAGTGTTTTAAATGCTGATCTCACAGGACAGATATAATTTGTTTGGCAAGTCTCTAGTATGGCAGCTGAGCACACGCTCTCGTCATTGCAATTGAACAACTTCCAGCTGCGCTGACAAATGGCCTGTGGCGGAACGAAACATTACGAACGTCAGAGTTTATTGGCCATTTCTCCCCCCTCTACGAACCGAAGATTGGCAGACCCGCCGAAAACAGTGCCAAAATACACGTCTCAATTGTACGTCTGCCACTATAACCGTGTCAAACTAAGGGAATCGATGACCAAATGAATAACGAACGAGGATTACCTGGCTCATCAAGAGAGCCAGGTAAACAAAGGATTTCGTATCAAACGAAAGTTTCAATTATGGGGCTTCCGTGCCCTTCCGCAAAGCCTGCTAGTTATTTTTATGATCATTTTTCTTATTTAAGTTGAACCTCACACAGGTGCAATTCCCTTTACCCGAAGACAAGAAAAGCGTCTTATCGTGCACAATAAAATTTAGAAGTGAACTTTCGACAGTAACTCAACAAGGTAATTTTAAACGTCACAATGAATGAAACAACGAAAAGCCACTAAAATGATTAAAGCCACTGGAAAAACAGGCACGTTTCGGTCAGACTAACCATGTTAGCTAGAGTGAGTGACGTACACTGTACATGCTTTGTACAAAGAAGCAGCTTGACTAGCTCCATGTATGCGTATAAATACATGGACAATATCATTATGCGCTCTTTTGTCAGCGCAACGGGTGAGGACTGGTGGTAGCGGACACAGCAGAATCTGATTACGACAATATCCGTTATAAAAGGCACTTTTTAGCTCACCAGTTAGTGTAAAAACAGCAAAAATGTGACTTCTCGTCGGGATAAAAAAGTCAACCAAGTGTTTAAATATGTAAACGCCTTCTGACTATGGGTGAAATTCTTTCGATTAGTTCAGTCATTGTGAGGAGTGAGATTGTGCCACTAACTTCAGCATTCTATCAACTTTTGTTTGTTCAGGCTTGATCGTACAGTCGCACAATAGACTCTTCTCTGAAAAAAGGAATCGTTCAGCTGTAGCACCCTTTCTGTGCCTAACCGCCATGCCACCAGAAGGTATCAGGAGGGCTGGGGTACCGCCAGATTGACCAAGCCTAGACATGGAAAGTCGAGAGGCAGAGGTCGGGTTCGAACCACGAATCCTACGGTCAGTAAATTCATATTCTAACCACTGAGGCATCTCTCCCTTCTTTGAAAATGGACCATCCAAATCGATCACCCGTTCCCTTGATGGATTCCACTCAGGAAGGCGCTTTATACTCGCCGAATGTGAACCTCACCTAATTATGATTACTTTTTAATATTCACATGCACTTAAACTGCAATGCGTACTAAGTAAATGTAGTGAGTTATGTTTGGATTGTTCTAGGGTGGACTAGCAATCACTGCAAGTATTGTTGTTTGTGGAATGGGCGTTCGCGTGGATGATTATCACCATCTGCGTACACGGCAGTGTGGGAGGAAACAGGCTATTTTCCGGAAGTTCTTCGTACTAGACGATGTGATGTTTCGCAAATGAATGGCTACACCTAAACAACCTATCATTTTCCATTGAGCACAAACCTATAGCTGAAAAACCGACGTGTTCTCCGTACAACCGGAAGGTAAACAAATGAAAGTTGTTTGTGGACATCAACAGGAAACATCTACGCGGGATTCGTATATTATTTTACCAACAACACAGGAAAGCAGAAAACTGCTCTGTTTCGCGGCAACATTCTAGTGCTCAGGCTGGATAATGGCTTTAAATTTGATCTTGCACGTTTGGTCACCAGCCTAGCAGTTCGGTCTCCATCAGACTCAGTGTACAAGCCCTGACACAGATAACGCTAAGCAGACTCTTGGTTGTACAACCATAAATGAAAAGCAGGTTTATGTCGATTTATAGCCACATGTACACCAAGTACACTTAAGTAAACAAGGAATCTCTCCAAACAAGGTGTATTTCGAGGTCGGAGGAATTCGTGTTTCCCCTAGAAGCATACTCTCCCCAAGACACAAGACTTTAATACTTGCCATTGTAATAATTTTCCTCACAGCTCCAACAGGTATGAACAAAGTGAATAAAAATTGGTTTAAATGAGTTGTTTGTGGCAGAATGTGGGTCACCATGGCAGAAAAGTGTCTGATATTTTTGCACCCATGGCATAGCTACGGACAGTTGGTACCGCTTGCTTCGGGTAGCGCTTAGGGCAGAAGGGATATCTGGTGACGGGAGAAGTAAAACCTGTTAAACTAGCTCTCTGTCGATTGACATCTATTTCTGGTGCTGGTTGATCTCAACTTCCAGCTGTCATGAAAATCGAAAGTCGTGCAACCTGTTTTTACTAGTGACATTATGCGCATTTCACTTGTATCAAAACTGCTGACTGTGCAACCAGTCGTTATTCCCACACGTGCAACTGTGGAGTGCTCAGATTGAGTAAGTAACGCCAAATAAGTTACTAATTGGCTTACCAATGCGTGCATTGAAAAGCTGCCCCTGAATTTATTTGGGACATTGGAAATGCCGTTGTCAGTTTTGAACAAAACCAATTTCTGATTAACCGTTTGAATCCTACGGCTCACCCGGCGAAAGATTTCACGAAATTTCTCCGCGCGGCTGAAGTACTTCCCCTCCGTTTTTTTGCTAGCCACTTGCGGCAATCGGATGGACAATTATTTTGCCAAAATCATTTCAGCCTTGCTATTAGTTTTCGAAAATGCACTGCACCACAACTAACTGGATTAAATTTGTTCAAGGTTCTCACCGATTGACGCTGTACGAAAGATAAAAGCTCTGTACTAGCCCTGACACTGTACCACATCCGAAAACGTTCGCTGGTCAACATTGCTGTACTTCTTCACTTGATTAGCTTAGAGGCTGGGACAGACCGACCGATGATGTTGAAACTACAATCTCTTGTACGGACGAGTGCCAAGGTTGTGTATTACTAGTTGAAATTCCTCGGTGATTCTGTTTGTACACAATTCATGTATGCTGAGGTAAATGTGATGTATCGCATGATTCGGTCGCCGCAGCAAGATGTGCGCGTGGTTCAGACTTAATGAGCAGCTTTTTCCCCCACTCTTGTGCTTTCTTCTTTTGTATTTTGACGTTCACAAGTATCCCAATCAAGTCTGGTATGTTATTCTTCTCGCTGATCACTTTGTGTACCACCCTCACACTACTTTGTCCAAATATGTCAGAAACTTCCTAACACCACCAAGTAATGTATTTCGTCTGCAGATTTTGACAGTTTCATTCAAACAGAGATTTCATTGAATGCAATGAGTTAGCCTAAGGAATTCAAGTTGATTCCTTCCAGATCTCAGCCGTCCGGAAGACATCTTTCCCCGAACCGGTTCCATCTCGTAATTGTTGGGATGTGATTTCCTATCATTCATGGGATTCTCATGCCAAGTAGATTGTGATCCGTGCTTCGGAATGGCTGGCTAAAAATTCTGTCTCATAGCATCTCCAATAATGCGTCGATTTCCTCTCACCAGAAAGACTATGACTTGCCTTATCCTGAATCACACTTTCGCTCGTTCCGTAGCATGACCACCTGTATAGAAATTTAGAGTGTCTCATTCCTTCTCAAAAGCTGACCACTTAATATCCATCATCGTGAAATGGTTTCCTATAGTTTGTCTTACTACAAGTCTCGTTTATTCTTGGAGATATTCATCACAAACACGCAATCGACGCAACAGAATGTACAGGAGAACGCAAACAAGTAGGCAAACATTCCGGATGAAAAACTTCCGCCTTTAAATTATTAAGTTGAACAGGACCATTCCTCTAGTTTGTAATATTTTGACGTAGGAACACAGAAAGGATAAAAAAGTGAAACAAATGACAACCCATGTTTAAAAAACTTCAATATTCAGAAGATACTGCACACTCACGGGCCGCATAAAAGGCACAACGTGAACATCGATTGTGGACGTCACTGAGATGAAGCCATACTCAATGCTATATACCTACCAATAACGTGTTGTAAACAAGTAAGGCGCATAAACTGGGTGTCAAGTGTAAATTAAAGACTGTAATCTTAGGAATAGTACAACCTTGGCGGAGCATGGAAAGCATATAAACAGAAACCTTGGTGGCTCACTGACCATTAAAATAACATCACAGTTGATGCAATGCAGAGCTCGGTGAATAGCAGCAAAACACCAAAATTCTTCTGATCATTTCTGTCTAATAAAATGATCCTGCACACCTAAAGACGATGACACTCTCAACTGCTCCTGGTCAACCTTCTGCAGCAGTGTCTAAGTTAGGCTTTCTGAAAGACTTTGAAGTAGATGCTCTAAAGGCCAGTATATCCCAAGAAGGTTTCCTAAGTTTTCTTCTGACTTGATACGGAGTACGAACTGCAACATATTGGGTCCAAAAGATCTGCAGGATATGCACCAAACCCTCAGGTTGACCACAGTTTCCACTATGGGGAATCGTTCATGACCATGCCTGGCCTTTCTAACTCGTCCCCAAATTTCTCCAACAAAGCTGAATACCACATATAAACACATGAGAAACCACGCTTTCTTAAGACACAAACCATTAATTTGAGAGTGGCGGAACAGCCGAATATCACAGACGCTGTTCTATAGGCTTTCACTCCACACAGCTACCTATTCTTCCTTGGTAATTTGGACTCCGATCGTAAGGCCGAAATCCCGAACAACCTCGTCGACTGCGGGTACAATAACCACATTGTGTAGTACTTGGCACTGCATAAACAGCAGCTTCCCCATGCGCGCTTTTCGCTGTACTATGATGATGAAACGCAGGATTTGTATCCCGAGCGTCCCCTGTTGTTCAACAGCGTGTCTGCTGCATTTACCACAGTTTTCACAGCGAGTTCGACAAGGCTTTCCTGTGTACTGGTTGGAACTGGTTCAGGTAAGCAATCCGGATCGTATCGTTTACTGACGGAAGTAACCAGTAAGTTGAAATCAAACAGTGTTGTCGGCCCTATCAAGGTTTGCTGAACTCTTAGCACACCTAGATCGACGTCCGCTCTGCCTGGCTGTCAGGACGTGGAAGTGATTTTGCACGATACTACTACTACTACTACTCTCATAGGAGACATTAAGTGAATTTTTCCTGACTGTTTTGGAATTACCACCGTGAACCTGCATTCAAGTCACTTCAAGCTATATTCTTCAACATATACGGATTATCCACAATGGGGAGACTCAAAAATAACCTTTCGACACGAGCCCCTAGCGTGTTTTTGTTCAGGATTGTTTCAAGGCAAGAGATGTTGTATTACATATTCTTCATGTCTTCACAGTGTCCAGATTGCGTCTACTTCCGCTTGACAAATTCCTGATATATCTTCAGGAATTTCCTCCCACATATTTCAATTAAGAAATAAGGAAATCAGATTGAATAAAAATGTTTGATTAGGTTTTCAGCTACGCTAACAAAACCTGATTCGATTTTCACGGAAATGTGGAAAGGACCACCTTGTTCCGGGCAGGACCACTCGTTGTCCACTTTTATTCGAGTGGAGTTGACACACCGGCGACTCCTGCCAACTTAATTGTAAAGATTCCAAAGAACTTGTCTAGCGACTCTCTTCCATGCTAGCATGAGACTCGACTGTCTTACTCACCTGAGTATGCAGTTTGTTTACGAAATTGACGGATGATTTTAGGACTAAGTACCGATTTCTTGGTGGACACTTACTCTGGAACACGTTCAACGCACCCAGGCTTGGGGCGTCGTTTATCTCAGTTCTTCCGTCGGCTCATTTTAATGGTATGTTCTCATTTTAGAGCGCATATCTCTTGATGCTCAGTTCCACGCTGGCTCCAGCTTCTAAGTGAGACGACAACAAACGTGCTGTTTAGCTAAAGGCTTTTGTGACCTTTTGTTCAAGGCTGGTTTTTTGAAACTATTTTTCAGCACTCCAAGCAATTTGTAAACAAACGTATTTCCGATCTTTGTTTCGGATTTACAGAATTTGGACATGTTCCTGCAACGCCTCAACAGTTAAGCAACTATACAACCCAATGTCAGTTTGACCTTGAAGTCCCCAAGCAGTCCAAGTAAGATTGTTAAATTTCAACTGAACTCAATCACAATTTGGGAAATTAAAACTTAATAATAAATCCAAATTCGACAATTTAATTGAACTATTATGAGTATGTTTTAATCGCTAAATAACCTGATATAAGATGAGGTTTGTCAATGACAAATTTGGTTTGGTCGAGATTAGTCATAAACTTAATAAGTTTGCACCAAGTGGACTGACAACAAACAGTTTAGTGAATAGCCAGGTCCGAACTTTCACCCTTAATGTTGTTTTCCACTTATTTATACCGTCACCTCCTATGGTAGTAAAGTCTTTAATTTCCCAGGCTATATTTGGCTCTCATTGGATTTCCAACCATATAGTCCAATCCGTCAAGTTGTTTGGTGCGTCAACAGTGTAATTACGTGTATGGCTTTTTTTATTCTAGGGACTTCTACAGGTCTATCATTCTGATTGGTCATTGGAGTAGGAATGCTGTTCAAGGCAGCAACAGCCAATCACAAACCGCTAGAATATCTTGACACATGCAGGTGTTTGGTAGGATAAACACCACGCCCGAACAACAGATATCTCTACAGTGTGCTGCGCAGTTGGAATCCGTAATGGAGCGTCGTGACTAGCAGTTTTTAATGACAGGTCATGAACAATTCGCCACACTCGGAACTGAAAACGATACAAGGCACAAAATGGATAGTACAGGAACATCGATCACTCCAATTTATGAGACAGTTCCCCGCAGTCCATTCTCAGTTTCCAAGACTGAGGGCATTGTTTTGGGGCTGTTGATTTTCTATTTTCTTGGTACCGTGGTGACTGGAGTAATTTGCTGGTTATGCGCCAGGAGACGTTTGCTCAAAAAACGCCGAAAACTCCGGCGTCCTGTGTCACCTCATTTTGAAATTGGCCCCAACCAGTTGCACATCAAATACACTGATGAAGATTCAATGTGATTTACTCCAAAACAGTATGTGGAAGCCTTCATTTTCAAACATTGTGATTCAAAGTCTTCCAATGATTTATACGACAGTTAACTCAGTATTCTCAACATGACCGATTCTTCAGTACAGAAATTGGACCTTTTGGTGAACGCACATTCTGCTTGGTAAATGAGGGGAAATGTATAAAAGACTGTTCTGAAATGGGTTAGTTCTCCTTTCCATTTTTGCACCCAGTGTTGTTATCTGATTCGTATGTCTGAAAGTGGCTAGAAATTTTTCACATTCTTTCTGAACGATCATAGACTCAACTCCTCTCCAGTCCTAGATAAACGCCAATATTGATCGCACACATGATGCAACCGACTGCCTCCATTCCGATAAGTAAGCCTCTATGGATGCGCATGAATGCCGCAAACCTGTTTCAGATTTTATGGCAGAACGTGATTAAAAGGTGGACACTCGAAATGGCTTATGACGGACCATTAAGCTAAAATTTAGTTTTCGTGCGCACTTAATTACACTCAGGGACATATTGCATCCACTCAGAGGTTAATCAGTTACGGCTTGAGAAAGTTGATTATGGCTCCTTGAACTGAATTTCGGAAACGCTTGTCTTCAAAATAACGAAATAGGATACACATAAACCTCAGCTGTTTTCTAAAACATGTTTTGTGCCTAGCCATAAATATTGTTTTCCGTAGGTAGGCTTAAAAATAGAAATGAACAACTCGAAAAGGTTTTTCAATAAGATTCTGATCTGAAGACAAGGCCTTCCCAAACTAAGACGACCTGTATTTAAAGACGGTCGTAACTTGAACTGCCGGGTGCAAGATTGAGAACAAGAGAATTTTGAATAAAATGTAGTACGAGAATGCCAACTGCATCATGATCCAGGTGGTATTCCCAAGCCTTTCGGTAGTGCATATTGTCGCGAATGAAACTGGGTTGACTAATAAATGATTCCCATAATAGCAAAGCTAGAAATACTACGTTCAAGATATGTGCATCAGGCAAGTCTTATCTACGACCCGATGCCAAAATTTCATGTTAGGAACCGGAGTAGTTTAAGATGAAACCAACTTGTTCGGGGATAATATATTCTGCAACAAACGACTGCACTTTTCCGGGAAAAGATGTTTGTCATTTGATATGAGTTTGACAAACAACCAGTAGTTTTATTGTCAGACAGAGTTTCGCTTTTGACACAAAGTCTCTTTCAGGCAAGGCGGTAGGTTGCAAATTTGGTTGAGATTTTTGCAGAAGGAGAACCAATCAGCCAGCTTTCCTCCAGATAGCATGCCCAGTCACTATCGGGTTTTGGGCTGTGAATATTTGTTGATTTATGTGGGTGAAGATGTCTTACAACTGATGCGTTAAGAAAGAAGCTGCCGGTTTTTCTCCGCTTGGCGGGCCTAATTCATAAGACGATTATTCTTGAGAGTCATTTACAAAATTGGTCTGTGTGGATGCGCTAATGCTAAGAAACTTGAGTTTAGAAAAGGAATTTTGGTAAGGTTGAGCTATACACTTCATATCTAAGTCAATCTCCTTAATAAGCCACAGGACAAATTCACCTATTTAAATTAGCTCCTCATGCACTCGCTAGCATCGAGCCCTGTATTGTACTCACACTGGAGTTTCTGACACCACCTAATCTACTAGTTCTTGTGATGTGAATGGTTGCTCGTTCCTCAAGAATTCCATGGTGGCCTAGTGTATTCTTTCTGCTGTATCTACCAATCATCTCTCCATATTTGAGTCTTTAACTAGCTGCTGATAACGACCCACGTTTCTTGGTTGGGTGGATAATACTCTGTCCTGCCCACAGATCTTAGTCAGCTGGTTTCTTCTCTGATGACCGGATATGCCGTTTGTCCCAAATGGCCTTGATGCAATCACTGCATTTAGTTCTGTAAAAACAGTTTCTGGTCCGTTCAACCTGGAATTGATCCTTCAGTTTTGCCACTATCGAACATGGCGTTTTTTCTGCCCCTGAAACACCATTCTGTTGTTAGTTCCACACCCTGCGATTAAACTCAGATGCTTTTGCCTAGTAGTAAACGACTGCTGTGCAAACGCTTTCCTTTTAGGAGTCCTGATGGCCGGGTCAATAATCTTCCCAAATGCCATTTGGTCGCATTATTAAATTTTCTCACTGCATTATGATATGGCATTCGATGAGCTTCTTCTGTGTAAAACCCCGGCTAGAGTAAAGATTACCGACGTAATATCGGCATTTAGATTCCTCGGATAGTTTAACGAGCAGTTTAATTTCGCCCCAGTGTCCTGCCATCCGAAATGGCCAATGAGTCTGAAATGCCGTTTATATCAGCACTAAAATTCAAATGGAAATTAAATTAATGTGATATTCGTAGAAAAACACTTCGCTTTTAACGTTAGATCAGTGAGCTACGTCAGTTCAATAGGTGCGGAACACGAAGTGTTCACTATTGATCGTTTTGGGACATCTGCTTTGAAGACGTTTGGTAAATGAGTGCCATGAGGATACAAAAAAGTTTTCAGCAGAAAGCAACACATAAGGAAGAAGCTCATCTATTTTAACTGCAAGAATCGATCCCAGATGGCACTACCTATTCTGAACTATCGTTGATTGTTTCCTCCTATCCGAAAAGGCATGAGTTGCTACCTACTCTTCCAAGTTTTCTATGGAAAAATTATTGGCGCAAATTATGCAGACGTATCTCTTTACTGGAATCTTCAGCCCCGAGTACTAGTTATGATTTTGAATGAACTCTTTTGTACTCGGGCTTCGGCGCAGTCGTATGCACGTATTTACAAAGTCGTCAAACATGGCGGTGATCAGAGCGGACACTCAGAAAAATGTTTGGTTCCTGTGAACGAGTGATTTCAGCAGGCGTTTGTGCTTGAGATCAAACTTTTCAAACAAAGAAGCGGTATTCATGGAAATAATGACCGATAGAAAGATATTTTTGGAGAAAGGTTGCCAACAAAGGATAGTAAATTCTAAATTTAACCACCTCGTGTTTCTTGGGAGAAGGACAATACACGCGGGTGTCATCAAAGTAGCAAGTAGGCATTCTTGTAGAAATTCTTGATGTGTTCCTGCTTACTTTGTAAAGGTCCACTTCATCAGGTTTCATACTTGGTCTAGTTCCCAGTTTGTTGTTTTCAGCTCGGTAACCTTGAGATTTCTCTCTGCAAGTAGAGCACGTGTGAGCTTCTTGCATCATCTTGAGGTTTTACATTTGGGATCCCACGAAAAATTGGCTTCTGTGATAACAATTTTCACAGACCACCAAAGTGCGTCAGAAAATACGTATAGCAAAGTGTATCATGGACCATATCTATTTATGTGATAAAGTTTGCGATAGTTTCAGCGATAAGTGATAGAATGTGAATGGTATGTATTCGGAATGAGATACGTTTGTCATTCTACCCTGCTCTGGAGAATTAGAACAGAGCAACCTTAATTGGTGGCAAGAGTTCAAGCTTGGCTGCCCTAAAAGAACAGTGTAGTGGTTGACGGCCCTATGGGGTCTCTACTGAACAAAACAATTTACTGATGTAGGCCAGACACAAAGTCACAAGGAGAAAAATCCAAGTAAATCTTGACTCAGTTCAAAATAGGAGATTTCGTAGTTCCGTATTCCTTTGAAGCACCACACTAAGGGGAAAAGTGCTACCTTCCTGGCATTCCAAATCTCCGGTGATCGCAATATTAATCCACAGGTGTAAATAGATTAGTCCGGTGTTTGCAGCTAAACTCTCTGTTCACGTTTAGAGTTAGTGGCAGCCAATTATAGCCAACCGGTAGTCACAACAGCAGTCAATCAGTAAAGTCTCGAAGTCACGTTGGACTCAAGAAGCGGGCGGTTGCGGTTGCATTTCAGTAAAACAAACTTTTGTACAGTGATGTGACTGATATTGATAGGGAAAAGGAAGATTATACTGAGCATGAAAAATAACAGTTTACAAGTGCTACAACATTGCTCCAATATGAGCAACAGAAGTTCCAGATTCTCTCAACCTTAATCGAGACAGAAGTTGGTGAGACAGATGTTGTGCGGTGAATTTCAAGAATGGAGCTACTGTAAGGTAATGTCCTGTCACTAATAAGTGGGTTTTACTGCCTGTGGATTTAAGCGTAGGCAAGAAGACGATTGTTGGAATGGGAAGACGTATTAAGGTCCAGAAACGTAAACAGAACCGTAAGCATTAATGTGCTTCCGGAAGTGTTCTCAACTAACCCGGTAAGTTAACCCTTTCTTGGGGATCCTTAAGAATCCCCAATTGAAGTAAGTACAACTGAGCTTTGAGAGATTCCGAGCAAGTACAATTCAAAACATTTTCGTGGATAAGCCGTATTGAATTAAATTTTGAGCAAACTATCAGTGTACATCAACTCTAACATGATCAGTCACAGCTTGAGCTAAAAAAGCATAGCTATCGGCGCAATAAGTAGCGCACTGTCTTTGTTGTATTCGAGTTTTATTTTCCTGTTACATATTTTTTCTCATGCTGTGCGTCGTTCACTGTTTTTGGCGTGTTTGGTGAAAACCGAAAGCTTTCCGAAAACTCACAAAGGCAAACCCATGATCGTGACACGGACCAGGTTTTCAACGGCAAATACAAAGTGCAACAATGGGTCGGTTTCCGTGCCAAAACGACAGTCTAGACAATAATTGTTTGGTCTTGAGGATTCGATCGGTTTTGGTTAATCTTATCGAGTTTATTTATGTATCGATTTCCCACATTGGGTTACCGTTAACGACAGTCATTGAGTAACGAAGCAAACGGGGAATCCATTTTTCTAAACGCGGATAAAAGACGGGGATCCATTGGATAACTACGCTCGTTTTCTGGATCCAGCTGCGATACTGTCTGAGATGGCCTATGCTGTACACCTGCACTGTGTCCCGTCTTCCAAGGCATTTCATCGTGACCTATTCGATTTATGCCAAAATACGCCATTGAAAGATTTTTTAGCTGAATTTCACAAATAGTGTTAAGCTTTGGTGTTTCCGAAGCGA